CCTAGACCCAAATACCCCTTGGCTGCTCCCCTTTCCTCAGGCATCCTGATCACTCCAGCTCTCCAATGGCTTCAGGCCTACCTGCAGACTCCCTGAACACTCGGATGGTTTACCTACAGAATCATGTCTATCCCTTGCTTTATTTTTCGTTATTTTGTCTACCCCTTTAGAATGTCAGTTCCATAAAATCATGAATTTTTTTTGCACTTTTTGTGTTCTGATGCAGCCTCAGTCCTAACAGTGGTAAGTTTAGTGCCAATGGGTTAATTATGTTTAGAGCCTCTACAAACTACACGAGGAAATATATCTTCAAAATTCCACAGATGGAATTTGATATATAGTCACACTCAGGAAGTTCACTCCCAGAAATTCTAACCAGCTGAAGAAAACACTGGTGCAGGTAACTGATAGGTAAATGGAATTTTTTGTTGTTGTTCTAAAATATCTCTTAACCTGCTGTGCTTTTCAGGCTTGGTTGTACATTGATCGTCACCTGGGATGTTCTATAAACATGTTGACTGTTGATGGAAGTCCCACCTTGAGAGAGTTCAGTTGTGGGTTGACTGTCCTTTTCATAACATTGTTAACCGTTAGTGGTTATGACTGGACCACAGGAAGTCATTAGGAAGTATAGGTGGCATTCCAGTTAATGGCTTCTGGCTTGTATTTTTTGATCCACAAAATAAAAGATTTTATGTTGGAATCGCTACTTCCTTGGGACTGAAGGTCACCTGATGATACAGTCTCATGGACTAACAACTACTGGTTCTTGGTCTTTTGTCAGGAGACAGCTATTGACATTCTACCAAATTCCCCTTTAGTATATCAGTTCTGTTCCTCTGGAGGACCCTAATATAGGGCATTGACTCCATCTTCATGGTGATTTGAAGGTGTCTATGTGCATGTGTGACCTCGACAGTGCTCCAAAATAAGAGGCAGGTATCCATAAATCAGAAGCCTGTGGCCTTTTTGTTTGTTTTTCCTTTCAGAATGTGCCTTAATAAATGTTGAAAGTCATCCTTGAACTTGTGACCCTCCTGTCTCAGCTTCTCAAGTGCTGGAGATGAAAAACCAGCTTGTAAATGGGAATCCTAAGCAGTCATAAGACTCATCCCAACATGTGTATGGAGTGACGTTAGGGACTCTGATAATCTTTGTAGGGCTTGTTAAGGGCTCAGAGACCTGCCACGATGAGTTCTCATATATACAATTTTTATTTCTTCCTACATTCTTCCTATCTTAGGGAGGACTTTAGGGAACAAGTGAACAGTAGCAACTCTTTGCTGCATATACATTAAGCATTTTCACAGTTCTGTAAGACTGATCATGGGAGGCCCCCACCTCCAGGATCTTCCAACTTGGGAACATTTTCCATGAAATCCATTATATTACCTCAACCAGTAAGCATGATGTCCCCATTTAGTTCTCTTGGAGATAATATTTTTACCTTTTTTTTTTGTATCCTTTTTCAACTCTGGGTTTCTTTGTACAGCCTTAGAGCCTGTCTTGGAAATTGCTCTGTAGCCCAGGGTGGCCTTGAACTTACAGAGAGATGTCTGCCTCTGCCTCCCAAGTGCTGAGACTGAAGGTTTGCACCACCACTTCTTTTTCGTACATAGTAAATTTAGGAAACTATTGAGAGGTACTACATACTACAAACAAGCTTTTTTTGTAACATAGAGACCTAAGTTGCCTATCCCATCATTAAAAGATAATATATATGATTTGGATTAATCTTAAGGATATGTCTTCCCAAGAGAAACTAAAATTTTATTCTCTATTACAGATTCCACTGTCATAGAACCCCCTCTCATGCACTGGGGACTATTTAAAGAAAAAGACAATTAGCTGTTTAGACGAAGAAATCACATTTTAGATATGTTTTGTAAGAAAATTTTGCTGGGCGGTGGTGGTGCACGCCTTTAATCCTAGCACTTGGGAGGCAGAGGCAAGCAGATCTCTGTGAGTTCCAGACCATCCAGGTCTACAACAGCTAGTTCCAAGAAAGCCTCCAAAGCCACAGAGAAACCCTGTCTTGAAAAACAAAATTAAAGAAAAGAAAAAAAAACTTACAAGCATAAGGTTTTTAATCCCAGCTCTATAACTGGGGTGTCATGAAATATATATCACAGAGGGATCTACTGAATATAAAATGCTTGTAAGTGTACAATGCCAGATATAGAGTACACATCTAATGTATGCTACATTTACGTAGGTAATGGTTAGACTGAATATAGCATAACAGGATTTTTAAAAATTTATCACTGGTGTTTTGTCAGCATGCATGTTTGTGTACCACATGTATGTATTGTCTGCAATTGTTTGCTACTTTGTGCATGCTGGGAATTAAACCCAGGTCCTTCTCCGGGAGAGCATTAATTCTCTTAAAGGCTGAATCCCTCTCCAGTCCCAGCAAGAGTTTTTGATACCGTCTTCATTCATATTTTATCTCCCTTCTTGAGATGGTGTAGCCTTGGCTGGGCCAGAGCTCACTGTATATGTAGACCAGGTTAGCAGCTGGCCGGCCCTGGTCTCTAGTGCTAGGATGAAGGGCTTGCCTGGTCACACCCAGCTTTTTTTACTTTTGTCTCAGCCATCATCTTTGGGGACTGATTTAGGAGTAGATGAAACCTATGTCTTTCCATTGAACTGTGTGTTCCTTTTTGCAGTTTCTCAATGCTGCCTTTGGGTTAGTGAGAAAGAGACTACAGTTTTCAGGGTGGGAGCTCTGGGCTAGGGGAAGAAGTGAGGGAGGATCAGCTGAGAGTGTCCTGGGGAGGGAGGGAGCAGAGGGGCGGGGCCAGCTGCCTGTACTACCTCCTGCTTTTCACAGGGCCTGCTTTCTTTCTTTGGTGGTGGTGGGGTGTGTTCTTTTATCAAATATAGCTTTTTTTCTTCATACATTTTGATTATGTCTTCCCTTCCCCAGCTCCTCCTATATCCTGTCCACCTTCCCTCCCATCCAAATCCACTCTTTTTCTTTCTCTAGTTAGAAGACAAACAGGCATCTAGAAAGTAGTGATAAAACAAGATAAAAAACCAAATAAGAACAGGATAAAACAAATGGAAGAGCCAAAGAAAAGGCACAAGAATCACACATGGCCTCAGAGACACACATTTGTACACAAGAACCCACAAAACCCACAAAACCAGAAACCATAATATATGAAAATGACCTGTAAGGTTAAACAAGAAAAGCCCTGACCTGACAAAGAACCTCCAAAAGTACCACTGAGCTGGTTTTGTATTGGCCTTAAGAGTGTCTTTATTGACTACTGAGACTCTGGGAGAAAAGCTTGTGAGCAGTTATCAGTTGGAGGTAGCTCCTGGGTTTGGGATAGGAGTTTGTGTCCACTTCCCCTCTAAGCACTGGGACCCCATCCGGCCTAGATCCATGCAGAACCTGGTGTCTTAAGTGTTCAGGTCCTCTTTGTGAAACTGTTTGTAAATCTGGGCTCCCCGTTAATCCTCGTCAGGCAGGCAAATGGTAGAGAATTCATGGAGTGGCTAGCCCTTTTCCCCTGCCACACTTTGCTCCATTATTATTACTAGTTTTGAGAGACAGGAGCTCCTACTGTAGACCAGGCCAACTTTGAACTCACAGAGATTCGGTTGCCTTTGTCTTCCCTGGGTTTAAAGATGTGCTTCACCTTTATTTTCTTAGCATGGCTTGATATCTACTCTTAAAACCTTTTTTTTTCAAGACAGGGTTTCTCTGTGGCTTTGGAGACTGTCCTGGAACTAGCTTTTGTAGACCAGGCTGGCCTCAAACTCACAGAGATCCCCCTGCCTCGGTCTCTGGAGTACTGGGATTAAAGGTGTGTGCCGGGATTAAAGGTGTGTGCCACCAAGGCAGAGATTGGGCTATTAAACTTTTAAAAAGTTCATCCTTGATCCTTTCAAACAAGATCCAATTTAAGTATTGTATTGCTTTTATGAGAATGTTTAGCTTGCATTACAAACAAACAACAACAAAAACAAAAACCCAAAAAACCCTTTTCTGGAGAGTCCAAATGAAGTGACTGTCAAATACCATGAAGGAAGCTTAACTATCGATTTTAAAGTTAAAACAATTACTCACCAGTCCCAGCTCATTTGTCTGTAAAGCTCACACCCCTCCCTTTCAGGTTATGTTTTAAGGTTTCCTGTCCTCATTGCATGATTAACTCGTTTTAGTTACATAAAAGTCAAGCACCAGTTAAAAGGGTTAAAGAAAAATGAAAAAACTGTGGAACTGAACTATGTATGGTTATTTTCAGCACCAAAAGAGGTTTACAAGTTACACAAAGATCTTTAAGAGGCGATATCGTTTTTCTGGATCCCAATTTTAAACACGTCTAAAGTTGGAAGTTCTCTAGGATGGGCAGCTCAGGCTTGGAAGCCCTTGCCTCCTTCCTGGATCCCCCTGGACCACTCTCCATAGAGCACTGTTCCTTCTCAACTACACCCTTGCCTTGCTCTACGGAAGGTGTCGGCCCACCAGCGTTCTACGTGATCGCGGTGCAGAAGGGCAAGGATGGAGATGAAGACCCCCGAGGAGCACACAGAAGCCTGGGTTCTCAAAGAGAGGCAAACAGAAACCCTGAAGATGACACGGGGCAGAGAGAAGGAGGGTGTGGCCGAGCGCGGATAGGAGGGTCTGGGGGCGGGACTTGCGGGAATAGGGGAGGAGCTAGAGCCGCTGCGCTCGGCAGGGGCGCTCAGTTCCGTCCCTAGAGGCGTGACAACGTCGCGTGACGTCACAAGGGCGGATCACGATTTCATAAAGCCGGCCTGAGTGGGCTTTCAGCAGTCGCTGCTGAGAGCTCCTGCTGTTAGCTTCGTCTGCTGCCGTTTCGTTTGGCTGTCACGGTCACTTCCCGGAGCTTGGGACTAACGGGTCGCGCGCCTGTGTTGTGTGCGGGACAGCGAGACTCCACTCAGGCAGGGCCGTCCCCTGCTGCCTCTCTCCTTAGCCGGGGCGGCAGTCCGCACGCTTCTTTTCTCGCCGCTCACTCGGTGTGCGGAGTGCGTTGTCTTTTTGATTTTGGAACTTTGGAACTTGTGAGCGTCTTCCCCCCCCCCCCCCAAAGACTTTGTTTTCTTTTGGCTTGGTGCCGTTTCCCCGGTCCCGAATAACCGCTTCTAGGCCTCGTTCGCCAGCCTCGCCCCAGTTTGCCCCCGGCTCTGCCCAGGGCCCCAGAGGGTGGGAGGCTTTGCCCAGCTTGTCTCTGCCGCATAGCTGCAACTGCGTCAGTATGCTTGAAGTCAACGAACCTCCTCTTTTTATAAAAGACATTAAAGCCGGACTGAAAAACTTAAATGTCGTCTTTATTGTCCTGGAGATAGGTAAGTGGGATCTGCAGCCTGCCACACACCCTGGAGCTCTCGGACCTCTTTCTCGCCTGCGCCACCACGTGCTCCCAGCCACCTTGCCCGGACTGGGCTCCTACCCCAGGACAGAAGACAGTCATGTAGTGTGCCCTAGGTGGGTGAGGTAGTTGCCCTGAACGGACTTGTTATCTAACATCCCTTTCCCATCATTGATTTAATCTCAACAGGACGCGTGACCAAAACCAAAGATGGCCATGAAGTGACATCCTGCAAAGTAGCTGACAGAACGGGAAGCATCACTATTTCTGTGTGGGATGAAATCGGAAGACTCATACAGACAGGGGATATTATTCGTCTGACCAGAGGGTAGGTGTGCGTACATTGCAGTAGGTTTGGGGTTGGCCAACTTCTGGGATCCTGCCAAGTTCTGAGTTGCCTGCCCTGGTTCTCCTGTGGGCTATTTCAAGAAGCTGTGAACTGTTTTGTTGGGCAGAATTGGCAACAGCTCACCTTTTGAGGCAAGGCATTGTTTCAGGGAAGGAGTACACTCCGGCCCTCAAATTTTAAAGGTTAATTTTTAAAACTACTGTATGGGAATCAGTGAGAATTCGTAGTAGGCTGGTAATCACACTGCCTTTATAATGGTGTTTGATATAATGTCTTTCACTTCCTTCCCTTTTGAGTGCCTTGAGATCCTGTCAACCCTTTATTTGTACCTTTCATTTGGTGGTTTGGAAATAAACCTAGACTTTGGGGAATTTGTCGTTCTTTCCTTTACCTTCGTTTTGGAAACAGTGTCTCTTGTGTTCCAGGTTGTTTTTGAACTTTAAGATGCCCAGGAGAATGAGTTTGAACTGCTGACCTTCCTGCCTCCACTTCAGGTGGTGGGATTACAGGGATGTACCCAATTGTCCTGGGAATGAGCCAGAGGCCTCCTGCGTGCCAGGCAAGCATTCTGCCTTCTGAGTTCCAGCCCCAGCTCGCATTGGACATTTTCTGTGGTCACATTTGTACTCAGTACAGATGAAGACAGCGTCTTGCATACTCATTCTTTCTTGAAAATGATTTCTTCTGTAAGATCTGTGTTTCACACCCCCTCCCACCCAAATACACAGAAAGTGGCAGAAGGACATCTGATACACTCAGAACATTTAATTGGCAGACTGTTGGCTATAGAGACAGAGCACTGTTTTTCATCAGCTGTTGAAATTTTCCTCAAATGTTAGTCTTAAGGCCAGGAGAGAATCTTAGAAGTGTGGAAGCTTATGTGATTAGGACAACTGTAATTTTGTTGGGAGCTAACAGAAAAATGGTTATTGATGCTGGCTAAGAGAGCCTCAGAGAAATAACTAGTGCTGAGCCCGCTAGGTGGGAGCTCTTTGATACTATCTCACAAGCCTGATGACATTTCAGGAAGTGAGGTAAAATATCATCAAAGAAGGAGATGTGTGAGAGTCAGGACTTAGCCATCTTATTCTCAAACACTGAGTCATTGTGACACAATTCCATCTTTGTAATTTCCATGTCCTTAACTTCTACAAAAGAGAATTTGGTGAGGACTATAATATGATAAAATATGTTAGAAGCCATGTATAATCCATGAAATTACCTTCTTTTATTGTACAAAGAAACACTGAAAAACCAGACTTCAGCCTGATTCTGTTAAGCTGATTAGTTTATATTTTCCTTAGACTTACTGATGTCATCCACTTTTAAAATAAACAATTGGTTCCATTATGTTGAACCTAAAAGTTGCAAAGTTTGGAAAGGCCAGCAAGAGGAAGATTGGTGTTTTTTTGTCCCGCCCCTCCTTGATAAAGTTTTACCAGATTTTGTCAAGCTTGGAAACTGTCTGTACATGTAGAAGTAAAATGTCTGCCTTCCATGACCATGTCAATGAGTGTGAAAGAAAACACTCATGTTGAATCCCTATACTTTGTGGCTGGAAGGCAACACAAATACTGAGTTTGTTATCAGAGGCTCCTCAGAATGTACTTTAACTGCTGTGTTGACTTGGGTGGTCTTGTTGCCTTCCCTTCCCTTCCTCGTCTGCTCCTTAACTAAGCTACACACAGGTCAGTGTTAAGTGTGCTTTCCTGTAAATGTGAAATGTAGAGGATTTTACAGATATCTCTTCTGTTGGAATTAGGTGTCTGTTTTAAAATGATTTAAATTGTAGTCCAACAGTTCATTGAGAAAGTACAATTGCTGTAAAAAAATAATTTGGAGAACTTTGACCAATGAGCAGTTCTTCACTGACAGGAACGCAGCCCCTCCCCCTTGTTAACTACAGGTACATTTAGGAGCAGCAGTACATACTTTACCAAATGCCACTTCTCACCCTCTCGTCCTCCAGTTCTCCTTGAGGCTGGCCTCAAAGTTGAGTTCTTCCTGTTCCAGCCTTCTCAGTGCTGGCATTCAAAGTGTCACCATGCATGCCTGGTCAGGTGTTTTTCAAGCTAGGCATAGGGGCCCATGGCTGACAGATCAGTTCCTCCTGAGGCCAAGACAGGATGATGGCAAGGCTGGGGACTACTTGGCTGCAGAGCAAGTTAAAGGCCAGCCTGGGCAACATAGGGAGATGCCTAAAAACAAGGCTTAAAAACAGGAATATAGTAGCCTAGTTGCTGATTGCCTGCCTTGTTATGTGCAAGGAGGTCTGGGTCAATCTGCATTAGTGCTCAAAACTGTTTTCCTAGGGCTGTAATTTAAATAACTATGTTATAATGTGCCAGTAGCATTCTTTGTGTAATTTTTTTTTTTTTTTTTTTTTTTTTTTTTTGGTTTTTACGAGACAGGGTTTCTCTGTATTTTTTGGAAGCTATCGGTCCAGCCAGCCTCGAACTCACAAAGATCTGCCTGCCTCTGCCTCTGGAGTGCTGGGATTAAAGGCGTGTGCCACCACCGCCCGTCTTGTGTGTAAGTTCTTATCAGAGTTACATGGACTGTATTTGTCTTGACTTGGTGGGTAGATGGGTTGATTTGTACTTCTACCTGATAAAAAAATACACTGAAAATTATTAGAGCTCTACTTTCTTTTGTAAACCTTACTTATTTTCCCTGTAGGTATGCATCAATGTGGAAAGGATGCCTGACAGTTTATACTGGAAGAAGTGGTGAACTTCAAAAAATTGGAGAGTAAGTATTAAAATACATTTGTATGATGAAGTTTCAAATAATGTCTGCAGAAGAATTGTATAAAGTAAAAACTGCTTACTTGGCTTTTGGAAACTTGGTCTCATGCTGTAGATAGGTAACTGGTTTAAACACTTTCAGTACTCAGAGCTGAGTTTGAGTTGTGGAGCCCCAGTGGGGCCCTTTAGAGTCAGGTGTTATGAAGTGTTTGGGTCTGGGTTACAGGATCTGGCTAGATGGTTTTATATACAGAGATGCTGCAGCTAGGTGACAACCACACTAAGTCACTCATTTGCTCATGCCTATTCTTTGTCAGGGTCAATTTAAGATTTTCTCAAACTGGATGTAGTTTATAGTTGAAAAGCTAAGAAAATGCTTATGTGTGAGCAGGGTACCAAGTTGTGTGGTCAATTACAGGGAGTGCTGGGATGAGGTGGTGACTTAGTAGCCAGTTATCTATCTTAATCATCTGGAATTTATTCTTTGTAGCTTTGAGTGTCTTTGCAGATACACAGTGAATGATCAAAAGGGATTCGATGAGAGCATCAAATAGTTGGGTGTTAATATGGGCTATAGCTATTTGGGAAATTTTTGTCACAAATGAATTAGCATGCTACTGTTAAGATAATTCTTTGACACATAAGGCTTTCATTCTTGTAAGTTAAGGATGTTGTACAAAAAGCTTCAGAAATCATTTAACTTGTCCTTTGCTTTCTTTTAGGTTTTGTATGGTGTATTCAGAACTGCCAAATTTCAGTGAGCCAAACCCGGATTATAGAGGACAGCAGAACAACTCGGTAATTAATACAAATACATGGCATATTTTTATCATCGACTAAGTTGACTCTTTACTATAAGTCTGTCAGTAGGCTAAAGCTCTAATGTTCAAGTATAAGGAAAATGATGTTGAGGACTAGGGATATAGCTACACTTATAGACTACTTGCTTAGCATGCATGAAGTCCTGGGCTCCGCCCCAGCACTGAATAAGACTGGCATTGGTGGTGCATGACTGAAGTCCTATTTCTCAGGAGCTTGGAGACAGGAGGAAAGAAGTTCAAAGTCATTTTGGTTACTTAGGGAATTTGAAGCCAACATGGGGTATATGAGACCCTGTCTCAAAAAAAAATCTTTTAAGGTACCTTTATTACATAGATCTGTGAGTCTGTATATACTTTTTGACAATAGATAATATTGATATTTAGTATTTTGCAGAGTAAAGATAGCATCAGGAAATACTCATATAATAAAAGCTTTTAAGAGGTTGGGAAAGATTCTAAATGCTTTAACACTGAGTGAACTTTGACAAACCTTTACATATTATTGAAAATCATTTTTAAAGCCTTAAAATTCAGTTACTTTGTCTTCATTTGTCTAATTTACTCTTCTTTCAGGTACAAAATGAGAAGGATAAAGTGAATGCTAGTACATTTGGAACCTTTGGTAAGACTTTTTCTGTATTTGATAACATGTAAACATTATGGGAATTATGAAAAATGTAAAGAAAAATAATCTCTTCTGGTATGATTTCAGTGTAAAATTAGAACTCCAGTACACAAGGAGACCCGAGTAAATGGCTTTTTAGGAGTAGTTCAATGTATTGAGCACATTCTCTATTAACACTGGGGTCCATTGTGCGGAGCATTGATTACTACGACTAATTTTGGTAACCCTCTGACAAGATCTTTTATTTGTCTGTTTTTACAAATGTGTATGATATAGTGGTTATTTATAATATATGTGGAATTACTGGCTGTTTTGACACATTGGAACCTGCCCAGACAAATGGTAATACAGAGTGCAGTCAGTGAATACTTTAACAAAGAGCAGTCATCTTCCTCAGACCTCACCAGGGGCCCTTGGTTCCCTATTAAAGGTCTGTCTTTAAGTAATGGAGTATGCCTTGTGAGATGTATCTTTCTGTGATTGGAGTTGATTAGGATAGTTGAAGACATTTGCAACCAGCTCACATTGTGGAAAATCTGTCTGCACATAGTTTGATTATATTGGAACATTTGTTAGTTGTATTTGAGTCAAACGCCAGTACTCAAACATCTCTGCTTCCCTTCTTTTTTTTTTTTAGTATAGGCAATTAATTTTTTAAAATAATACTCTATTCCCAATTTTATTCCTAAAGTTAGATTATCTTTCTATTTATTCAGTACTAAGGTGATGTGTTTGGTAAAGCCATTGCTGAGCCCCAGAGCCTATGTGTTTTCTCATTATGGAATGATTGTGCTTGTTCTCCATGATACTTATAAGCATTTATAGTGTGTATAGCAACTTTACATGATTGTGTTTCTGTAGTATAATATAGACCACTTCTGAAATTGTGATAAGTTTTTTTGTATTCTTCCTAGGAAATGGCGTTCAGACTGGGCCCGAATCAAGAGGATATCATCTCCCATATACTGGTAGAAGCAGTGGCCGGGAGCACATAAACTCACCGCTTCCAGGAGCTCGAAGTAGTCAAACAGTCATGACCACAATAAGCAATGCCTGGGATCCCAGGAGAGCTTTTAGAACATGACTGAAGCTAAAGAGACTCATGTAGTTTTTAAACTATGTGCCCTACTTGAACACTTAATGCACTTTTATTTATTGTTAACTGTGAAAGTGTGTCTCTTACGGGTTTCCTGTTACATTTTGGGTTTGTTGAGAAGAATGGTTGATTTTTACGGCACAATGTTGAGCTGCTCAGTTCCATCCTGTTGAAGAATAGGAACTCTGAAAGCCGGAACATATATTTTTTAGAGCAAGACCTTACTGAGTATCACTTGAAAACCTGTCCCTGTTTCCAGGGTGAGCTACTTATGACACCAGCATTTGCCATAACATTTCATGGGAAATGTTCTTTTGTTTTAAACTGGGATGTGGCCGGCGGTAGTGATAGCAGCCCCAAGCAGAAGCCTGGCCCGTGCTGACAGTGCTTTGAGTGCTTGTGGTCCAGGGATGAGTTACTACTAGAGTGACTGGCCTGCCATTCAGAGTGTCTACGGACAGAAGCACAGCCTACATTCTTGTTTCGTTACCAGACAACCAGACTCTTCCCAGAATTATGGAATACAATGTGTAACATAACAAGTAGTTTTTAGAAGGAAACTGTAATATAATGCTCTTAATAGTTGTTACATACAAACGTTAAAATTATTCTAAAGAAAAATTTACAAGAGAGTGTTTGTGTTAATTTTTAAACAACCATGTTAAATACTGGTGTAATTGTAGGGATTACAATACAACACAGGACAGAAATCTCATTAGTGCAGTTTCTGTCTCTGTGTCCCAGGTGTTGGTTTTAAGGTTGTGCATTATCACACCAGGCTTATCTGATTACTAAAAAACAAAACAGAAATCATGTGGTTGATGAAAATTGTAACAAATGCAATTCAGATTGAATTCTTATAGCCATGTGACAACCTGCGTCAGGTTGTCAGGTAGAAGTAAGAATGCTGGAGTAAGAATAGGTACTGCTTCTCTTTATGGAAGTATATGTGGTTTAGTTTCTTTTGTTTGTTTGTTTTTTTGGTTTTGTTTTGTTGGTTTTTCAAGATAGGATATCTTTGAAGCTGGCTCAGTAGACCAATCTATCCTCTGACTGACAGAGATCCACCTGTCTCTGTTTCCTGAGTGCTCGTATTAAGAGCTTTAGTTTCTGAACACAAATCATATCGCCTCACTAGGAAGACTCAAGTATATATCTCTGTTTGAAATATTTTGGTGGGAATTGTGTTTCCTGATAATCTCTTCACTGTAGGGTGGATAATTGGTGGATGTTTTCATTTTAGTTTGTCTCCTTAAATATTACCCCGTGAGTAAATGTCTTGCTCTGCTGACAGCACAGCCGCCTGCTCTGCTCTTTCCCCAAGCACAGAGAGTCCAGTTCAGTTTCCTGAAGCTATGTTGGCTTCAGCCTGGCTGCTTCCTATCTCTGTGTCTGCTGATTCTCCTGGCCTCACATTGTATAATAAGTAAGTTTCTGTTCAAATTCTGTAGCGTTTGCATATAACCTGTGCCAGATATTATTGTTCTATTTCTGTTTAATAAATTTCAGTTTGCACTGTATTAGGCTCAATGTGGAGATTATTATAATATTTGAGATATTGCAGGAAATTTACTTAGGGTTTATAGTTGCAGGGCTTTGATAATATAGATAATTGGTCATTTGTTCATACATTAATGATTATAACTATTTTGGTTTTGTGATTATTTAAGATTTTTTTGTTTACATTACTGAATGCTTCAAAAACGATACGTAAGAGTTAAAATAGTGTCTTGTGATTACAGGTGTTTTAAATAAAAATAATGTTCAAACTAATGTTGAAATTTTAATAAATAGGAACAGTTCTTTTATTTGTCGGAAGATGTGGTGTAACAGGTAATTCTAAAGGATTTAAACTTGGACAGATTTAAGTTTGATAAGGTGTGGATCTCTGAGTCTTCAGTTCTGACTTGACTTTCTTGTCATCTGTGATGCCAGGCAAGTCATGATTAGGAAAAGGAGCAGAAAAATTCCTTTGAGAACATGCCACTTTGAGGAAGGAATGACAGTAACTTCTGGTGAATGATCAGTCACAAGTTGTGTTGCTATCAGAATGTTCATAAAGGAATTGCCAAGCTCAGAGTGGAAATGTTAGTGTATTTTAAGATAGTGAGATTGCGTAGTGCATGGACTAAGATTTTATGACTGACATTTATCTCAGGAATTTAGCATGTTCTGTGGTTTGCCTTATTAACAAGTTTCTTTTTTCTTAAGGAAACTTCCAAAACCAAAGCAAAGTAACATCCAAACAGTAATCGCCTTCCCAGTCTGCCTGGACACCACTCATCAAGAAGTTTTGGAAGAAAGTGTCAACCTTCCTCTTCTCTGGTGCCTTCAGCTGTGAATGTTGTCATAACCTTCAAGAAGACCCAGTGAACCAAAAACCATATAGTGTAGAAATGCATTTACAGGGTTGGGTCCCCATTATTGTTTCTAGGGACAGTTCTGGAGTGGAGAAACAATATTTGATCAGGCCAGCTTGTCCCTTTTGTCTGGCCTGATGTATGGGGGACTTGCCACAGGTTAGAAAGGGAAAGGTGAAATCCAGATGGCCAAAGACTGGTCTGCCTTCACAGAAGCATTTAAACACCCAGGTTTTCCTGTACTCCACCAACTCCCCTTTTGCTATTTCTCCGTAGTCTTAGTAACTTGGTGTTAGTTTTAAAGTGTAGACTGAAGGTTGACTAGCTCTTTATATTTTGTAAACAGATTATATACAGAATGGTCTGTCTAGTCCAGTAGTCTGATGGAACACCAGTTTTCATTTACATGGGTAGCTGACCTGTCAGTGTAGTGGCTGAAATGCCTCCCTTCTTGGGTATCATTAGTATAATGGCTGTTTGCTTGAAGCCATTTTAGGGTGAGTGTGACTCTTGAGGTTCTATTGAAGACTGAGAAGCACTGGAAGCCACCGAATGCCTCCCAAACAAGTGTATGCCAAGCTCTAACATCACTGCAATCCTTCATCTCACTTTTTAAGCCTAATTTTTACTTCCTGTCTCAACTGCGGACACTTGGATTATTCTAGTAGATAAGGATCACATGGCTCAGTGAGTTTCTAGTACAAGGATGGTAGGGGGTTAGGGCAGAGATAGGGCTAGTGAGACCCTGGTGTGCTGAGGCTCTAGATGGTGATCTTAAAGGGGAGTCATCAAACAGCCTCTGCACGGGGTGGTTTTAGTGGTTACCACTTCAGGCATGCTTCTTCTGACATCTAATTGTGACATTGAAAACAGCACCATAGCTGATGCCTTATACCCCAAGGAAGAAGGTTTCTAGCTATAGTTAAGTTCTGTAGATGCCTGAAAGTTTGCTTTATTGGGAAAATGTTAGGATTTGAATTTGAAGGCTATAGCCAAATTGTTCCAGGTTTCTGAATGAACAATGAGTTGATGTTTCTACAAGTGTAAACCTCAGACTCAAAATCATGTCCATTAAGTTACTAATAAGCACTTTTCCATGCTCACATTAGACCTGAAATTAGAATCAATAACTTAGACCTTTGTGAGGTGTTCAGTCTGATATCTAACATTTCTACCAGTTCCCTTTGCATTGAGGGTGAGGTGACATTTCATCACTATCTGTAGTAGCTTAGATATGCAGATGACTGACACACACTGAAGGGATATATTGGTAGGCTTTTAAAAGTTTGTGCTTAGAGATTCCAGCTAAAATTAAAAGATCCTTGTATTTAAAATTCCCAACTGGGTTCAAGCTAGGTTAGCTTTCTGGTCCTCAAACTGCCTATGGAGTAACCTGGAATAGGTGTTTGGTAAAGCTCTCACTTTAAATAACATCCAGGAAGCTTTTTGAAAAGAAGTGTGGATTGCCCCTCTGGAAGGAGCCAGGTCAGAAAGACCTGCATCAAACTCTTGGGAGATCTTAGTCCCCTGTCCTTTCCCAGCCCTTTCACCGTGAGACAGGTTGATTGTGGAGCTGCATGTGTTTTTCTCAGTTCCTTTTCTGTAAATCTAGAATTGAAATTGTATTGAATAGGAAAAAAATGAATTCAAAAGGGTGTTTCCTTAGAGCACAGAATTACTGGCTGAAGCAAGTGTTCCTGAATAGAGGTAAGTAGGCCCTTTACATAGGAATGCTGGAAATTTTAAATTAGGTTCAAATAGAATCACTCAAAATTACATCAAAGCTGGAATCAGATCTTTTCTAAGAGGAGGGCTTACTGTGGTCCAGGTCTGGCCCAGAACTGTCCAACCTAAAAGCAAGGCCAGGTTGAGACATGGCTTAGCTCAGGAAGTGGGTTGTGGCATCTCCTATGACTGTCATTCAACTCTGTCTGCGAAAATGAGTTGAAGAGTAGGCTTGGAGGCATTGACCTTCATTACCTGGGATGCACAGGGCATACCATCTTCATCTCCAGATCTCAATTCCATCTTCAATACAATTCCCACATGAGTGAAATATTTAGCCCTAAGAGTTGAGATTTCTGACCAGTTGGGTTACTTGTACAAAAGTTGTCAGCACTAGAGCCATCTATTGGTAATCACTGTGTAGAACTGGTTAGCTTAAGGTGGAGGAGGGTCCATTATACCATAGGATAACAACTATATCTGATTAATCAGGCAATATATGACATTAACTGGTCATAGTAAATAAGCAATGGAAAATTCCCTTATTTAAGTAGATCAAATACTGAACTGCCCCAAAAAGTAGAGGAGATACAAGACTTTTTAATGATTTTTTTAAAAAATTGTATTTGCCTGCATGTATGTGCACCATATGTATGCCTGGTGCCTGTGGATGATAGAAGGCATCAGATCCTCTGGAACTGGAGTTAGAGATGGTTGTTAGCTGCCTTTGGGTGCTGGGATCTGAATCCAGGTTTTCTGCAAGAACATCAAGTGCCTTAACCACTGAGCCTTCTCTCCAGCCTATACTGGCAAGTCTTAGACTCATATTTATCAGGGTTAGTGAAAAGTGTCACTAAAGATGGGTTTTGGTGAGAATGAAGTACAGCATGAAGTTGCTCTTAGGAACTATTGCCCAGTGGTATTTTATGCCAGAGGTCTGGAGCTATTCTGCAGTTACATGAATGTTGGGTATCAAAACTTAAATACAGAATATAAAGTGAAAGCATTGGTTTTTAACTGAAGCGATTTTGATTTGAGTCCTGTATCTGCATTTACCAACTCTATCACATAAACCCAACCAAGGACTGTGGGGTTGTCTAACCCAGTTTGTGTCATCCAAGCCAGTGTGCAAAGCATCTCTATATCCAAGATTCAACAAAAACTAAGTCCTTCATGGCTACTGGAAGGAAGGCAAATGCTATCCTTCTTCCATACCATTTGGAAAGAATTCAGAAAATCAACTGGATATTAAATTTATATGAATTGATATTTTTGGAGGTGGTTCCCATGCAGCCCAGGCTGTCCTAGAGCCCTTGATCTTCCTGTCTGCACCTCCCAAGGTGTGAACCACCATGTCCAGCTCCAATTAAAATCTAGTTAAAAGTTTGCACATTTTCCTGGTATAAAAAAGCACTCAGCCGGGTGGTGGTGGTGCACCCCTTTAGTCCCAGGATTCAGGAGGCAGAGGCAAGCGAATCTCTAAGTTGGAGACCAGCTTGGTCTACAAGAGCTAGTTCCAGGACAGCCTCCAAAGCCACAGGCAAACCCTGTCTTGAAAAGCAAAAACAAAAAGAAAACAAAAAAAAATCCCAAAAACCAAAACCAAAAACACTCATATTGCTGACCTGCTGTGACAGCACAGGGTTTGATTTTCACAACAAAGATCTAACCAATTGGTCAAATTGACCATGCTTCATTCTGCCCAAGAGGGTCCTGGACCTGTTTAGGAAATTGTAGTAGAAGAGGGATTTGTGGGTGAATGTTTACCTGTCATGATTGCTATGTACTTGCACAAATTGAGCAATTTGTTTATGATAACAAAGACACTGAATAACGTTTTCAACATTTACAAAATGATGAATTTTATAGACAAGTATATTTACCACCCGAATTTTGTATTAGCATCTAAGTTTCATCTATCCATTGCAGTTAATCCATCTGAATCCATTTCAAACAGTATATTTTCTTTTGTATTCCAACATGGATATCCATTGGAATTTTCAAGTTATTGTGTAAAATTTATATATATAATGAAATGTACCTATTTTGGGTGAACTTAATGGTTTTTTAAGAAGTTCCTTATGGTGCTCTGAAACCCCAACAAAATTCAGAACCTTGTCACCCCCTCTAGAAATCTCTGTTAAGCTTCTGAACACCACATGAAACCAATGTTCCCAACTAGCCATCAATCAGTGTTAAAGATAATTTCAGTTTAAAGGGATTATAGTATTCGATCCCGTACTGGTGGTGCAGGCCCTTGGGGCACACAGTGCTGAGTTGGAGACTAAGCTAGAGGACCTCTTAGGACTGAAAGAGGGATGGTTGGGGGCACACCACTCTTCTCTCAATGGAGCTCTCAGCTAGGACCGTGTTGTAGGACAGAACAAGTCTGGAATGCAGTGTTGAGAGCAGAGCACTGCCCCAACCCCAGTGAT